TGTGGGCACTAATAACTTTATCTTTATAGTTATCTTTATAGATATGATTCTTGGTGTGAACGGGGCTTTAGGGTTAGGTCAACTTCGAAAAATTCAGAGTTCGAAAAAAAAACAAAAAACAATCACGAAATACACAAGTTCCCAGACTTGCAGTACGTGTGTTACTTTTTCAAATCACAGACACTGTCAATAAAGCTCAATCAGATCTGAACCCATACAATTTTTTTTTTATATATATAGTAAAATGATCACCATCAGAAAAGTAATGCGGCAGTTTTACAAAAAGTCCAATGATGGCCCAATGATGGCCGCACATTCCCTCAGGCGTGATGTTTCACATCAAGCAGACAAAGCCTTGTTTCTCCTAAATGTCACAGTGAATTGTAGAGTAACAGATCATCAGAGTACAGTAATATGGAACACTGATTGGATGGTTTCACTTATGCTTGTGACCTCAGACGGCAAATAATGAAAACCGTTGCCTCATTTCAGAAGAACCTGAAGGCCTGTCGTGACCCCTTCAGTTTGAAGCGGTTACTATAGAGACCTCACAACTGCTATTACTTGAAATCTAACCGAATGACTACAGTGCCCAAGACAACACTGGCCCCAGTCCAATTAGTTAAGGCAATCCAATGCACTGCGAAGAGCTTAGTGGAAAAAAAATGATTCTACCCAAAATAGAAAAATAGTATTTAATATATCAAATAAATACATTTTAAAAAGCACAACACACTGATGCAATTTTAAGAGAAAGATAATTACTATGTACAATTGTATCAGCACAGCCCTACTCTTTAACGTAAAAAAAGATGCTTGTTTGATTGAGTATCTCGCCATTAGTTTGTTTGAGTGTGTTTTAGTAAAGCAAACACAGGCCACAGGAGCTCTGCTTTGGGGTTGTGCCCGTGGCGTAGTCTTTATGGTACAGCTGATCCCCAGGGGTCCGTGCTAAACTGAAAGCAGCCTTGAGGCCAAAGCTGAGAGGAGACAGAGACTGTGGAGGGTTTAAAATAGATGAAGAGAGAAAAATCGATGGCTGGAGCTTCCTGATCCAACCCCACTGAACCTGAGGGACTTACAGGAAGATCTCAAATCAAGTCACGCTGCCACTGCCACGAGACCGGAGAAGACCACCACCGACTGAGAGAGGACACTACAATAACAGCTGAAGAAAAAAAGCGGTGCATAATAAAAACAAAAGCATTACAAAATATTAATTCGGTAACACTTTATGTAGGGACCAATTCTCACTATTAACTATAGCTTATTAGCATGCCTATAGATAATAGCTGTTTATTAGTACTTCTAAAGCACATATTCTACATACCTAATCCTACACAATACCTAAACTTAATATCTACCTTACTAACTATCAATAAGCAGCAAATTAGGGGTTTATTCAGGCAAAAGTCATCATAAATGGTTTGTTAATGGCGAGAATTGGACCTTAAAATAAAGTGGGACCATTAATTATTTTTACTCCCCTTGATATTGTAATTGCAATTAATTTTAATTAATACAAGTTATTAGAAAATATGTATTTTGTATGGGTCAACAACAGCACACCTTATTCTTTGAGTAAACACATCCACAGCAAGTAGAGATATGTGTTCCTGAATTACACTGCATTCAAAGCTCTGGAGTGAGCAAGAGCACATTAAATTGATCAAAAAGTGACAGCAA